TGCCGGCGGATCTAGCTCTTGACTCAGACAGCCGAGGTGAGCCGCATTTATGAATGCTCAGGTTGACTCGACACCTTTCCAGTCCTTCGCGCTGTGCGTACTGCGAGCGGCCGTTTGATGGTCTTGGGGTACTGTGCTCTTTCTCCTCTCGGGTCGAGAGGGATGGGAAAGTCCAACTCAGCACGTGGGGTAGCGGATACCCAGCTGTACTGATGGTCTTGGGGTTTGCTGGCGGATTCGACTCTGGACTCGGGCAGGCGAGTTGAGTGAAAGGCGAACTTCCGCCATCCTGATCGATCTTAACTCGTACTGGCGAGCCGACTGTAAGGCGAACCTAGAATCGAACATATCTGACATCTATGTGATTTAGGCCCGTGCCAAAGAACCGAGCGTGCGAGCTCTTCTCGCAGGCGAATTTCTTGTAACCCTATAGAGGTATTTTTTACCGTCTACATACTCCAATAGGTATATGAGTCTAAACTGTTTCCTACCGTTGACGGGAAGTTCCTGGAGAATTTTTATATGTAATATTCTTAAGGATAACCCGATCATGTAACCAAATGCAATGATAAACCCAGTTTCGCGAAGAAACTGGGGGTGGATGATTCATGTAACGGGAAGTTCCCGGAAAAAATACTATATGTAATTCTCTTAGGGATAACCCGATCATTACAAACAAAGTGATAAACACTAAACCCCACTGTGATTTGTATGAGTCAACACTCTCGATGTGATTTGTACTCCTACTCTCACTGTTTACCTGGTCAAACCTTCCTATAGTTAGGGCCACAACTAAAGTCCCATCTCGATTCCTTCCATAAACGAGAGGTCCACTTTTATTGAGCGATCAAGCCTATAAAAGGTAAGGTCGTCTCAGACCCCCCCACTTCCACTGCCTCCTTGGTCAAACCTATAAAAGTTAGGGCCAAAGCCAGAATCCCCTTCTCGATTCCTTCCATAAACGAGAGGTCCACTTTCAATTCGAGTGATCAAACCTTCCTACAGTTAAGGTCATCTCAAACCCCCGTTTGGTCAAACATTCCTACAGTTAGGACCAAAACCACAATCCACTCTCGATAAACGAGAAATTTATCTTTAGTTCGGTAATCAAACCTTCCGACAGTTAGGGTTATCCGAATCTTGTCGATTCTCGGAGTGGAGATCCCACTCTTAGTTTCATCTTTTTGGATTCTAGGAGTGGAGATCCCACCTCGAGTCTCCTTTCCAGCTTAAGATAGAATATAAAATTCTTCTTCCTCAGTGTCGGGAGATAGAATATAAAATTCTTCCTCTCCCATTTCGGGTTCATCTTTGCCCCAAGAGAAGACACCACCTTCTTCAACTCCCAAAATCCATGCCTTTTATGCATGGGAATTTTATCCCAAAGCCTAAGTAGGGATAAGTCAACGCCTAACACGCGTTGCCGGTTTAGTCTTTCACCGATTGAAGAAGACACCAGAATTCCAGTCTGGGAATTTTATCCCGAAGCCTAAGTAGGGATAAGTCAACGCCTAACACGCGTTGCCGGTTTAGTCTTTCACCGATTGAAGAAGACACCAGAATTCCAGTCTGGGGAATTTCATCCCAAAGCCTAAGAAGGGATGAGTCAACGCCTAACACGCGTTGCCGGTTTAGTCTTTCACCGATTGAAAAAGACACCAGAATCCAGTCTGGGGTATTTTATCCTGAAGCCTAAGTAGGGATAAGTCAGCGCTTAACCTGCGTTGCTGGGTGGTTCGTTCCCGTAAAAACGACCGAGTCTACGTATTCAGCATCGTAGCAACAAAAATCCATGCCTTTTATGCATGGGGAATTTTATCCCGAAGCCTAAGTAGGGATAAGTCAACGCCTAACACGCGTTGCCGGCTTAGTCTTTCACCGATTGAAGAAGACACCAGAATTACAGTCTGGGGTATTTTATCCCGAAGCCTAAGTAGGGATAAGTCAGCGCTTAACCTGCGTTGCTGGGTGG